TAAATACAGTTCATATTATATATGTCTGTATATATAATTTAATATATATATATATATATATATATATATATATAAACCCTCAGCAGGCTAACACAACAACTCGTTTAAACCCTAAACCCTCATGCAAACCCCCAGAAGGAACACAGCCCCAGAAGGTGCAGCTTGATTGGCTTTAATTAGGAGTTGTTTATATATTTTCTTTTTATAATACTCTTTTTTATAAATCCTAAACCCTAAACCCTAAACCCTAAACCCTAAACCACAAACACCGAAGCAACAAACCCTAAACCCTTGCAGTGCCCTCCAGAAGGGGTTGTGTGTGTGTTTTTTTTTTATTTCTTTCTTCGTGCTTTTGCTTCTTTGCTGCTTCTGTTGCTTTGATTATATAAACTGGCTGCTGTTGTTGCTGTTGCTGCTGCTGTTGCTGCTGCTGCTGCAACGAAGCTGCAGCAAGTGGGGCCCCCCGTGTCTTCTAGAGGGAGGAGCGCTTGCTGCTGCAGCGCAGCAGCAAGCGAACCCTAAACCCTAACCCTTCATATTCCCCTTCACTCGACTTGAAGGGTTAAGGGTTTAGGGTTTAGGGTTTAGGGTTTGCGGCTCCGGCTTGGGGTCTGCCAGCGATGAGACTGGAGGTGCTGGCGCAGCAAGTCTGCAGCAGCAGCAGCAGCAGCAGCAGCAAAACATATCGGCAGCAGCACAAGCAGCAACAGCAGCAACAGCACTAGGAACACTGACCCCCAAACCCGAATCTGATTCGGAAGCCAGTAACACCAGCAGCAGCAGCAGCAGCAGCAGCAGCAGCAGCAGCAGCAACAATGCAACCACCGAACATGCAGCAACATCCTCCACATCCGCAGTCTGCTGCTGCTCTCTACGGGCAGCAGCAAGCCCCAGGCCAGTATCAACCGCACCAGCAGCAGCTGCAGCAGCCGCTGCAGCATCAGCCTATGCCACCTCAGCAGCAGCAGCCGCAGCAGCAGCAGCAGCCACAGCAGCAGCAGCAGCAGCCACAGCAGCAGCAGCCTGCATCAGTTGTTCCAGCCCCTCCCGCGGGCTTCCCTGCAGCAGCAACCCCTAAATTTCTCACGAATTTAAGCGCAGCAGCATTTAATCTGCATGCTCAGACAATACAAGGGCCCCCCCCTACACCGCAGCAGCTGCAGCAACTTATTTATCCTTCAGAGCCAGTGATGCTCTGTGTCGTTGGATCGTTTACAAGAAATAAAACAGTGTATGTACACCCAAATTCAAATAACATACAAGAGACAAACAGCAGCAGCAGCAGCAACAGCAGCAGCAACAGCAGCAGCAACAGCAGCAGCAGCAATAGCAGCAGCAGCAACGGCAGCAGCAGACCCAGAAGTAGCAAAGCAATCAGCAGCAGCAACAGCAGTAGCAGTTGCAGCAGCAGTAGCAGTAGCAACTGTAGCAGCAGCAGCAGCAGACCCAGCAGCAGCAGCAGCAGACCCAGCAGCAGCAGCAGCAGACCCAGCAGCAGCAGCAGCAGCAGCAGCAGCAGCAGCAGAGATGTTTGTTTGTGTGGGTGGTGAGTGCAGGCTGCAAGTCACCGATGGGCAGCTCTTCTGTCGAATTGCTTCTGCGCAGCCTCCTCCGCTGCCTCCGGAGCAGCAGCAGCAGCAGCAGCAGCAGCAGCAGCAGGGAGGGGAGACCCCACAAGCCATTGAAGCGCGCATGTCTTTAGCAGCAAATAAACTCAGAGGCCGATTGCTGCTCTTCGAAAGGCTTAACCTCGCTCTTACGCCCAAGTCTGCTGCTCTTTCTTTGCTGCTGTCTCTTCTTATTTGCTGCTGTCTCTTCTTATTTGCTGCTGTCTCTTCTTATTTGCTGCTGTCTTTTGCTGTTGTTTGCTGCTGTCTTTTGCTGTTGTTTGCTGCTGTCTTTTGTCGCACGCAGCAGCAGTTCTAGCAGCAGTTCTAGTAGCAGTTCTAGCAGCAGCTTTAGCAGCAGCACTACCAGCATCAGCAACAGCAGCTCTAACAGCATCAGCAACAGCGGCAGCAGCTCTAGCAGCAGCAGCTTCAGCAGCAGCAGCTCTAGCCGCAGCTCTAGCAGCAGCTCTAGCAGCAGCAGTAGCAGCAGCAGCTCTAGCAGCAGCAGCTCTAGCAGCAGCAGCTCTAGCAGCAGCAACAGCTCTAGCAGCAGCAGCATCTCTAGCAGCAGCAGCATCTCTAGCAGCAGCAACTCTAGCAGCAGCATCTCTAGCAGCAGCAACTCTAGCAGCAGCAGCAGCAGCAGCAGCAGCAGCAGCAAGTAGTTGATGTGTGTGTGTGTGTTTAGAGGGAAGTCGGTGATTTTGTCTCGCGCTTTTCGTCTGCTGGACGGCGACTTCTCGCACCTCGTCCCTCAACTACTCAGCTCTTGTCCTGAGGTCTGCTGCTGCTGCTGCTGCTGCTGCTGTTGCTGCTGCTGTTGCTGCTGTTGCTGCTGCTGCTGTTGTTGCTGCTGTTGTTGTTGTTGCTGCTGTTGCTGTTTTTGCTGCTGTTGTTTTTGTTGTTGCTGCTGCTGTTGTTGTTGCTGCTGCTGTTGCTATTTTTGCTGATGTTGTTGCTGTTGCTGTTAATGCTGTTGCTGCTGTTGCTGTTAATGCTGTTGCTGTTGTTGCTGGTGCTGGTGCTGCTGTTGTTGCTGGTACTGTTGTTGCTGGTGCTGCTGTTGTTGCTGGTGCTGCTGCTGCTGCTCTCAGTATTGCTGGTGCAGCAGCTGCTGCGATGTTTTAGCTGTTGGTTGTTCCTGCAGCAGCAGGGGCTGCTGCAGCTCCTTCTCACTGCTGCTGCTGCTGTTGCTGCTGCTGCTGCTGCCTTCGC